CTGTTGCCGCTATCCCCCGCCACCCCTCCCCAACGCCTGCTGGTTTCCGGGGCTGGCCAGGAAGTAGGGGGCGGTGACGGGCGGCCCGTTCTGCCAATCGCCTCCCAGGGACTCAGGCATCTCCTCCCCGCATCGACCAGTCTCCTCTTGGTAGCTCCGCCCCGCGAGAGCTCGGCTGGGCTCGGCCTCCGTTTCTGGCCTTCTCTCTGGCTCCAGCTGCATTTTTTTTTTCCTCCAACTCCCTTTCAGCACATATGGCTTGTGTGTCCCTTGGTGCTGTATTCCTTCTTTGGCCCATTCCTTCTTAATCAGCTCTCCTCTTCCTGGAAATTTCACTTGGTTTCTTTCATTCTCCTTAACTCCCTTATCCGCTGTTTATTCCCTCTAACTCCAACTGTTCTCCAAAAACCTCTTTCTTGTCCCCCCATTCAACTCCAGGTATTTTCAAGCACCTACTATATGCCAGTCACTGAGTTCTCCACCCGTCGTCTTCTCTCCACGGCCCCATCTCCCTGGCCCTCCTCTGGCTGGTCTCTTTGACTTTTGCTCTCTTGCCCCCGTCCCCATCTCCCCTCAGTCCAGCTCCCTCCTTCAACCCTCTCTCGGGTCTTTAAAGAGAAGGGATACTCTCAGGCCCTCTCCCTGCCCCTGTCCTCCCACGCTCTTTATTTAGCCTCAGTACTTTTGCTTTTCTAGTTCCTTCCTATCGGTCTCCTTAGTCACTGAAGCTGAGACAGCCCTTCTCCCCAACATAGAATCTAGGCGCATCTTTTCCAATAGAAACTGGGCATTAGGTTTCTTAAAAAAAAAAAAAAAAATGAGAAAGAACGCTAGATTACTCTGAGAGGAGCATGCCTCCTTAATTGTGTAGTCCTGTATCTTTTCCCTCTTCAGCCCCTGATCTCTTCCCCATACTTCCATTATCCCTTTACCAGGATCATTCATTCCATCGCTCCTCTCCTTGGTTTCCACCTCTTTCTCAGTAACTCTTCTCCTAAATCCATACAGGCATCCTGTACCTTCATCTCCCGCCCCTCCTCTAGGCAACTCCCAGCCTCTCACCTTGCCTCACTTGAGTCACGTGGGACCTTGTATCTGGGTGTGGAACTGCCCTCTGCCTCTGTCCCCGCTGCCAGACACAGCTTCGCCCTGCTTGAGTGTACACACCCTGAGGTAGAGGATGTAAAAAACACTGGTAGTGGGAGGACTGTTATCTAGTTCCGCTCCTTGGGCCACAGTGAGGGTTACTGACTGTAGAAAAGGCCCAAACTCGTACAAAAAGCCCAAGCTCTGGCTTGCCCAAGTTCCGGGGGTCCAACCCAGGAGGAAGACCCCAGTTCTGCGGGACACATTACAGGACGGAAGGGGCAGGCCTAACCCCACTCGGCCGCGGGTCGCCCAAAAAGGGGCGGTCCTCGCCCCTTCGGCCCCTACTCGCAAAGGGGTGGAGCTAGATCTTTATCTGCTTTTAAGATTTAAAAAGGAGTCGAGATCAACTCTGTCATACTGTGTCACATTAGAAAGGTGTGGGCCTTTAGTTCTGTTCTGCAAATCACCTAAGGAGGAGCGGGCTGAGTCCTCCAGCCGAGGGAAATGGGTTAACACCAGCGCCCCAGATCGATGCTCGCACCATCCAAACGAGCTGATCCCAGTTCTGCTCCCTTCTTCACTAAAAGGGAGGGCTGAACCCAAATTCTGCTCTCTACGTCACCGAAGGAGGCCGGAGCCATTTTGAACCCTGCGACCCGAGCATTTGGTCTCCGGCCGAGCTTTTCGCCGTCTTTCCCGATCTCGGCCAATCAGGGGTGAAAGAAACTGACCAATCAGCCTAGAGAGACCACAGGCGGAGGACCCGGATGAGGCCGAGCCAAGGCCTTCGAACCCCAAACCCCGCCAATCGTAGAGCAGTCACCATGGCGACAAGACAGAGGAGAAGGGGGTGGGACCAGAGAAGGCTTAACCCTCACGGGATTGGCCCACCCCTTCCCGCCGGCTGCTACGCACGCGCATTTTACCTAACCACCATTTTCCGTTGAGTTCCAGCCAATCAAGTGCTCTGGAGCACTACATTCCAAAGTCCAATAGGAATACAGACATTCTCTGAAAGGGGACGTGAAGGAAAGAAAGGCAACTTAGAGTTAGGCGAGGCCTGTGTAGTCCCGAACCAATTGCTTTTGGTCTTTGGTTATGACTGGCAGCTTATCAGACGAATAAAGCTCCGTCTGGTCGGGCGACGGCGCGTATCGAATTGTTACCAATCCCATCGCGTTGCACACTGACTGAGACTGTATTAGCCAATGACTATTGTGTAAGGGCAGGACTGCGCAAACCTCGCCCCTACGCCTTGGACCAATCCTTCCTTTTGAACTGTGTGATTGTCAGTGACTCAAGCCAATAGTGCTTAAGAAAGCCTTGGAGCCCGCCCAACGACCGTGGGCTGGAGGCGGTTTCTCGTTGTTGGGGCGTGTGTGTGTGTTTGGGGGATTAAGGGGTACGTGAAGGCGAAACAGAACTGGCCATGGCAGCAGCAGAGGATGAGGACGGGGGCCCCGAAGGGCCAAACCGCGAGCGGGGCGGGGCGGGCGCGACCTTCGAATGTAATATATGTTTGGAGACTGCTCGGGAAGCTGTGGTCAGTGTGTGTGGCCACCTGTACTGGTGAGGATCCGGGAGGGGGAGAAAAGAAGTGGGGCTCACCTCCTTACTTGGGGGAGGGGGTTGTGGGCGGGGTGGCATACAATTATACAGATAATCGGAGGGCACATTCACATCGGTGAGGCCCGAGGAGGGCACTTAGGTCTCTTTGGGTCTGTGTGGGCCAGAGGGTCATATCTGTGCAGAGGAGACTCGTGGGACGGAGAGTCTTGGGAACTAGGAGCTGAGGGGTATGTGTGGTGTGTTAAGAGGAGTTGGGGCGGGGTGGGCGTCACAGCACATCTGTAACAGGTGAGACCCGAGAATGTGAGAGGTCTTAGCTGTACAGGTGTTAACAGATTAGACTCAAAGGTTAGGGGTGACATGCCTTATTAGTTGAGTAGGGGACACCTAGGGAATGTGGGATCACATTCAGGAGAGATGTTGATAGGAAGTGGTATGACAAACCCGAGAACAAGGGCACTGAAGGGGCAATCCTGAGAAGTTAAAGGATGGTGGAAATAGGGACTTTATTGAGCGGAAGAGAGGAAAAAATGGTTTGGGAGTGATAGGGACAAGGATGGGGCTGGGGGCTGAAAGAGGAGATCTGGAAAGCCTTGTTTGAAGAGACCTGAAAACTTAAGTCAAAAGGCAGAGAAGGGAGGAGGAGATGGGTGCGTGAGTGCGTGTGTGTGTGTGTGTGTATGTGTGTTGGGGGAGAGGAGAGGGTTGAGCATGTTGAGGATGGATATTACTTTACATGTTGTAAGATCAGAGACGTAGGAAGGCCAAACTGGCTGGCATGATAGAAATTGTGAAAAATAGGAAAAGAAACAGGGAATACCTGGGAAGAGGGGGTGAGATCACTCTTGTGAGGTTGGGTCCGTGTCTGTCTTTTCTGTAGCTAGTTTGACCTTATTTTTTTTCCCCCCATCCAGTTGGCCCTGTCTTCATCAGGTGCGTACTCAGAGGAGATGAAGAGGGAAATGGGTAGGTCTGAGGAGTTGAAAGACCCTGCTGTGAACTGGAAACCACTTCATTTTCTCCCTCAGTGGCTGGAGACACGGCCAGAGCGGCAAGAGTGCCCAGTGTGTAAAGCTGGGATCAGCAGAGAAAAGGTTGTTCCTCTTTATGGGCGAGGGAGCCAGAAGCCCCAGGACCCCAGGTGAGAGAGAGGGGGTGTTACTGAGGGAAGATGGAGGGTTTCTGCCTTGGGAGTGGGGTGTGGAAGGGAAGAGATGGTTTCTCATTGCTAGCCCTTCTCCGGTCCTTCAGATTGAAAACTCCACCCCGCCCCCAGGGCCAGCGACCAGCCCCGGAGAGCAGAGGGGTGAGTTTTGTCTAATTGTGTTCCTTCCCTGCCAAAGACCTGCCCAGTTCTCCTCTGACTTTGTCCACCTCCCTAGGGATTCCAGTCATTTGGAGATACCGGGGGCTTTCACTTCTCATTTGGTGTTGGTGCTTTTCCTTTTGGCTTTTTCACCACCGTCTTCAACACTCATGAGCCATTCCATCGGGGTACAGGTAAGAGCCTTCCCTCAGCTCAGGCCCCTTCCCAACCTAGGAGTGGATGCTTCTTCCACAGCTTTCCTCTCTCCTACAGGTGTGGATCTGGGACAGGGTCACCCGGCCTCCAGCTGGCAGGACTCCCTCTTCCTGTTTCTCGCCATCTTCTTCTTTTTCTGGCTGCTCAGTATTTGAGCTTTGTCTCCTTCCTGCCCACCTCCAGCCAGAGGAGAATCAGTATTGGGGGTCCTTGCTGACCCTTCTTTACTCCTGGCCCCTCCTCCCCAACTCCTCCGTTTCTATTGGCTAAGGCCACGGCCTCTTTCTAGGAGGCTGTGGGTAGGAGGAGTGACATCTGTGCAGAGTATGGGAGAACCTTCTGCTCTGAACTCACTGAGTAGCATCATAACTCCCACCTCTGGGACAGGAGGACAGACAGAAGAGGATGTCTGTTTCTTCTCTCTCCTGATCCTTTGCTTTCCCCCACTTTTACTGATTTGATGTTGAAAGATGAACAAGGCTCCCTCTGACTCTCCCCTACCTTCCCCCTGTTGATTTAACTTAATTTTTCTCTCCCCATTGTCTAATATGGGTTTTGTCTCTAAGTGCTTTCTTCCCCTCACTACCTCCTTTATTATAAATTCAATAAACAAGGTGAGATGTATTGATGGGAGCTCTGCCCACTTTTGTCCTTTCCTCCTTCCTTCCAGGACAGAAGCATCTTATCCCCAGCTGAGTAAATATCTGTGTGGTGTGGGGAGGTGTGAGGGTGAGCCCCTCTTCTTCAAGGCTCTCAAGGATTCAGGGGGTGAGGGTGTCTCACACAGTCACTGTCTCTCTCACACACACACACAGACATGTGCACGAGAGCAAATAGGCGAGGTGTTTACTTATCACTATGGGAGGCTCTGGTTGTGGAAGCAAGTTTGGTGAGGTGGGGTACAGGTTATATAGGGGGAAACTTCTCTGAGGCCAGGACAGAACAGCGGCGTGGGGAAGAAAAGGGGGCTGACAGATGGGGTATAGCTGTCACCCCTCAGGGCCTGGCTGCACCGCTCTCAGCTGCCTCTGGCTCCTCTGACTGATTCAGCTCTGCGCGCTCCTCCTCCTCCTCCTGGTTTTCTGGGGCCTTCCTGGGGAGGGGGATTGAGGAGAATTCTGCACATGGTTTCTAGCGCTCTGTCATTCCTGCCCCCACACCCCTTCTTGCTGCCTGGTGGTCCCAAGTCTGAGCTGTTTGGCTTTCTCACTCACCTTGCCTCCCTTCGGCGTTGCTGTCTTCGCCACATGATGGCCCCAATGAGCAGGGCAGCGATCCCCAGGCCTCCCAGGATCCCCAGGGCCAGGGCTACAGTTCCCAGTCCCTGCCCTTCCACAGAGCCTGTAGAGAGATGGGGAGAAGTGAGGGCCCCCACCACTCACCATTCCTTTCTTGTTGACCACCCATCCCCCAGTCCCGTTGGGGCCATCTGCTTCCAACCCCTCACCTGCAATGGGCTCCTCCTCTGCTTCTGAAAGGCAAAGTCAGAGCAAGTTAGAAGGGAAGGTCTAAATTTGAGAGAAGGCTATTAGTGGGAGCCCTGATCGAGTCTTCCCTTTTCTTGAGAGGAGAGAGGGAACAGCTGGGCTGCTCTCTCAGGAGAGTTTGGGCGGGGCAGAGGAGGCCTGGATGTGGGTGAACCAAGGAGGAGTGGTGTGGTTCTTGGGGACAGTGCCAGGTTGGGCTAGGGAACTGGTGTCTGCACTGTCTCTTAACCCAGCCCCAGGATCCCTGGGGTTTGGAGAGAGGTTTTCTCACCGATGATGACACGGACAGCCGGGCTTTCTTGGGGCCCATGGCTGGGATAGGTGGCCACACAGCTGTAGCTTCCCTCGTCATCAAACTCCACATCATTGAGGAGCAGCACAGGGCTGGGGGCAAGGTGCAAGGGTATGCCCTGGGGGTGGAAGGGGGACAGGAGACTGTTAGAACATCTCCACACATCCCATACTTCTGTCTTTGTCTTTACATGCTCAAGTACTCGGTTGTCTTTCCCGGCTCCTTGCCTGCCTCTCCATGAGCCTCCTATTCTCATTGCCAGTGGTGTGTCTCTCTACTTCCCAGCCCCCTCCCCAAGTCACTCACATCTTTGATCCAGTGGATCTGAAGGGAGGACTGGGCAGGGGTTTCACAGGTCAGGGTCACAGTACCACCACGAACTAGTTTTCCACCTTCTGGCTGTACCATCACTCGGACCTCTGGAGGCACAGGCTCTGGGGCAGAGGGCATGAAGTTGAGAGTTATATCTGTGTGGTCCTAGTGGCCGTGGGCTTTCCTCTTCCCTGAGGGCCTCTACTCACCCCAGACTCTGAGATGGATGGAGGCTGTGTGTAGGGCTCGACGCCGGGGAAGTCCAGGGCTGAAGCTACAGGAGAAGGTGAGGTGGGGAGCTCCTCCCCAGGCTGGGGTCACCATCAGCGCCGACTGGAGTGTGAAAAGCCCTGTCTGAGGGTGTCTCGTGGTCTCTTCCAGCACAGACACTCCTGTGCAGGGAGGGGAGGGTAAGGCAAGATATCCCAGGGTGGGTGTGGGAGAGGGATCAGAAAGAAAGCAGCTGGGAGGGGAGACTTTGGGACTTACCTTTGCCATCAGGTATGAGGAGTTTCCCTTCTGAATGCCAATTAAGAGTCCCTGCAGGATAGCCCCCCTCGGACACACATGTCCCCACCTGGGGAAAGAGTGACCTTCATTATCTTTGAAAATAAGAGACTACACACACACACACGCAGAGCTTACACTCCCCTTCCTCTTCTCAGGACTGCTTTCTACTCCCCCCCCCCCACTTCTACTACCTTATTGGGGACACCAGGCATGAGTTCAGAGGCAGGAGAGACAATTTCTGGCTTCCCAGGAATCTCTAAAGGAGGGAAAATTTCAGTCAGAGGCTGCAGCTTTGAAGACTCGTACGCGGGTGTAGGATCTAGGGCAGCTGAAGTCACAGGTTCTCCCACACCAGGGCCAAGGAATCGAGGGCTGGGGTTGAAGGCTTTTCCTTAGATGAGAGGTGGGCCAGGGAGAAGGCCCTGGAACTCTTACGGTAGACTCGGACTTGGTAGGCGGACCTCATCTCCTTTCCATTCCTGCTTGTTGCCTGACACCGGAAAGTCCCCTCATCCTGGATCCCTACTGCTGGCAGGAGGAGGGAACCATTGGGGAGCACTCGAGCCACGCTATCCCAGGAGCCTCCCTCGGGAGACAGGACCTTCCAAGCTTCTGTGCGACCTGTGTTCTGGGGACAGAGGAGAGGGGCCTGAACAGTGCGAGTCCTTTGGGAAAGGACTCATGAGACAGGGAGGTGGGGAAGGGAATCATTCCTGTCTCTGGAAGCAGGGAGGCTGTGGCAGGAGCCCTGCTTACCAGTTTCCATTCTAGCTGTTGGGGTGGTTTCTTGGGGGCTCCCCTACAGTTCAGCACCAGTGGCTTCCCAATCCGGGCCGTGATGTTTCGGTCGCCTACTACTGCCCCTGGGAGACAGTACAATGGTGGAGGGGTAGGAAGGAAGGGAGAGGCTAACAAAACTAGGGGAGGTCAAGATGGGTGAGGGAGCTTGAAAAGCAATGCCAGTTTCCAGGAAAGTTCTTGGCAGATTTGGGGAGGGAACGAAATGCTTTCTACGGGGGATTGGTGTGAGGGGGGGAATGGCTCACCCCACAGACTGAGGACCAGCACCCAGGCTCCTGCTGCTGCCCCTGCTGCCATCCTGCTTCCTTCCCAGGCTCCTGGCTCTGTCTGCCCCTCACTGCTGTGGCCACCGCCCTAGGTGGGGCTTGCACCCTCTCCCCTACCCCCATCTTCCCATCCTGTCCCGCCACAGGGAATGCTAGGAATTCATGCTGCTTGGACAAGAGTCCTTCAGGTAGGAGGAGAAACAATGATCACCCCACCCTTAGGCACTGCCGGTCTCCAGGCACAGCCATATCCATGTGCAGGGTGGGGGGGGGGGGGATGTACCTCCTAGAATTTCTCATTACTCAGGACCCCAACTCCGTCTACTGAGGGCTTGCCTGGTGGACAGACTGGAGCCCATATGACTTAGGTAAGGTTGCTGGACGACAGGGTTCAGGCCTGGCTGTTGCCCTTGGGGAGGGTTGAAGGTGAACCGTGGGACCTGGGTGGCAAGGGGAAGGCTGGCAGGGGAAACACCTGTGTGGGGCTTTATGAGACAGATTTTATTCTGGGTTTCTTATGTTTTTGAAAATAATGCTCAACTAAGCCCAGGGAAAAAAGAAATTTCTTTATTTAAAACTGCATGTTTTTTTTTTTTTTTTCCTTTTCTGTGAAACTACAAGTTTACAAGTGAGGAGAGAACTGCCCCCGACCCGTGCCTCCTGCCCACCACCCATCACATATCCAATCTGCTCCCCTCCAGTCCTGCCTGGATCTTTGACAGGAGAGGTTCCCCACTAGGACAGTCTTGTAAAATCCTGAGGATGTTTGAGGGGCTCAGATGGTAGAGTTCTGGCCAAGAATAGGACATGGGTGATTTTACTTTCCCCCATACTTGGCTTTTTGTAATCTCCCTCTTCTCTCTCCCCACCCTCTTGATTTTTGAACTGAGAAAAAAAATGCCGCATTTCTGGGAAAGTTGAGGGAGATACACAGGTACCCCAACCCACATTCACCATATTTGGCAATAACCCCTTCCCCATTCTTCCCCCTCCAATCTGCAAAGAGTAGTTTAAAAAGACTTAAAGACGTGTCACTCACAGGGGAAGGTGGCTCTTTCTCAAAATTACTGAGTCCAGCCCTGCCCAGGGGTGCCATGTGTTTGTATGTGGCGGGGGGGGGGGGGGATAGGTCAGCAGAACAAGCCCCTGACTACCTCCACACCAAATGCAGCAGAGAGCTGCCTGCATAAGCAAAGAACACTTAAGTGATCGTACAAGCAAAAATACCTAAGTGATTTTAGGGGGGCAGGTTTGGGGCCCTGCTAAGCATACTTTCTGATGGATAGGACTGGAGCCAGGTGGGCCTGTTTACAAGTTCTATTTGTTCCCCTTTCTCTTATGACCCCTTCGGCTATACCCCTAACGTGGGAAAGTAAGAAATTAAAAAAAAAAAAAAATCAATATATTTATAAAAACATCTACTTCCCCAAACTAAAAATTAAGAACCAATAACAAAACAAAAAATTCAGATAGTAAAGATGGATCCCAAGGTTTCGTTTCTTTCCTTTAAGGAAAAAAAAAAAAAAAATCAACCCAAAGCCCAGTCAACAATTCCCTAAAGTAGCAGAAACTCCCTCCGAGGTAGATATCTGAGTCAGACACTCTCGTCCACCGAGCGATTCTATTGGTTTAAGATGAGCTGCGTATGAGGTAATAAAGCCATCTGGAGGGGCAGGGGGTGGGGAGGCACAGAGTTCATGGCCCATGTCCTCTGTCCAGGAGTGTCCCCAGTTTTGGCATCTCTGGTCAGGCAGGGCTGGCTTCTCCACAGATCCCAGAGCAGGTTAAGTGGGGTAGAGGAGGGAAGAGTGGGGGAGCCCAGAGAAAGATACAGAAATGGAATATAGTATGACAGGTAGAGCAAAGGGAAAGCGATCTGAACAACAGAATTCTGGGTGTGTGGTTTATGTGTGAGAGAAAGGGAGAGAAGAAAGACTGAAAGGAAAAAAGGGGTTGAGACCCCACTTTCCCCTTAGGGGACCCCATTCTCCCTGCCATGTAGTCAGCACCCCCAGCACTGGAGAGTCTGGTCAGGGAAGGGATGACCCCATTTGCCCTTCTCTGTCTTGTGCTTCTCCTGTGTCTGCGGTTTGTCCTCTGGATGCCTGCGTCCTCTTCAAGAGTCACCTTGTGAGCCCCCACCCCTGTGGCCCTGAGGGGCAAGATCAGTTGGAAGTGTCAGAGTGAACGCTCCCTGGTCCCTCTGTCGGAGATGTCACTGAGGATGGGGTTACAGCCTCCTGCCAGCCACCATTTGCCTAGAAAAAGAGAGAGGTTGGGGCAGGGAAATCCAGTGTGGGAGACAACATGGCCAGAGGAAAGCCATCCTGTCCAGGTGAGAGGTGGACAAAGGGAGCGTCAGGTGTTCACTCACCCTCATTTCCCGAGGGCTGTACATCTGGCCTCCCCCAAGGTTATCCCCGTAGCCCCCTGGCCCCATTGAGTGTCGGAGTGATTCCACCTGCAGGCAGCAAAGAAGGGCAGGACACAGTGAGGAGTCTCATACCCTGGAGAGCAGGAAACCGAGTTTGGGCAAGCCCTGGTCGAGGGGAGACGGGCCACCTGACCTGGGAAGCAGAATAGGAATCTCCGTTGAGCCCGGGCATCCCCAGAAACATGTCTCCGGATCCTGAGAGATTGAAAGAGCCGCCAGAGCCTTGGGGGAGCAGAGAGGGAATTAGGGAAGAGTCTAACAGAGCCTGAGACTAGCCATAGTCCTGTGTTTCCAAAAAGCCCTCTGAACTAGTTCCGGGGGTGTGCTGCTGTACACAACTTATCCCTAAGACATTGCAACACTCAGGAGCAGGCTGTGTCTGAGCCTCCCCCTCCCTCCCTGGCCACTTGCTGGAAGACAGAAGTAACTTCGCTGGACTGGCCTTTGTCCCCTGACATCTCCACCCCATCTCAGCTAGTTCCCTCTCATCCCAAAAGGCCCCCTCTCTGCTGGGATCCTGTCTAGATAGGAAGTGGGAACAAAGGCCGGAAGTGTGCAAGAGAACCAGCCAGGATGGCAGTGGGGTCCACCTGCAGAGGAAGGGGGTGTCGGGGAGCTGGTGCGGCTGTGGCCCCCCTGGGTGACTGACACGGCAGTCTTGACGGCATAGATGTTGGCCTCCTCTTGGAACTTTCCAATATTTTTCTTATAGCGGATCCGCTTGTTGCCAAACCAGTTGGAGACCTGTGAGGCATGGAGCAGAAAGGAGGGTCAGGGGCAGACCTTCTCCCCCCAATCCCCACTCCCCCGTAACCACCTCAGTCAGTCGATCAGAGAGCTTTTAACCTGAACACTACACCCCGGCCCCGAGTCCCACCTCCCATACCTGAGAGACAGTGATCCCACACTTCTTGGCAAGCTCCTCCTTAGCCTCCTCACTAGGATACGGGTTACTCAGGTGGGAGTAGAAGTACTCGTTGAGGACCTCAGTGGCCTGTTTGCTGAAGTTGCGGCGCTTGCGTCTACAGAAGAGGGAGAATGGTGATGAGGCGGCTGCTGTCCCAGCAGGGCGTCCGTCTTGCACCACTCTAGAGGGTGCCACTGCCATGGAGCACCGTGTTGTGTGTGAGCCGGTGGCCCTGAGGCTGGGAGAAGTGGGGGGAAGGAGCCCCACCTGGCATCCAAGAAGCGGGAACGCAGGATCATGACAGCCTCACATGTGCTCTGCTTGAGCTGCATCTGGATGGCGCTGAACTTTCGGTGGATGATGCTCACCATGCGCTCCATCTCCTTGGGAGCCACAGGCCGCGTGCGGCTCTGTTCCCTCAGCAGGTTCATGACATGCGTCGTGAACTCGTTACATGCCTGCAGTGGGCGCCAGGGGCTGTGAGAAGGGGCCCTCTGGTCTTGGGCTGCCCTGTCCTCTCACCCACGCCAGCCTGGTCTCACCTGCTCATACTTCTCCAGCTCCGAGTGGTAGATGTGGCGGATTTGGGCAAGTTTGCTGCGATAGTCGGAGTGTTCGATGGAGTTGTCAGGGGACACGCCACCACCCGAGGCTGCGGCGGCTGCAGCTGCTGCAGCAGAGCCCCCCCCCTTTCTCAGGCCCAGCCACACCCTCTGCCAGAAGCATGTTGTCCAGGCGCATCAGCTGTGGGTCCACCGGCTCCTCCTCTTGGGAGCTTCGAATGCTGAGGCCTAGCATGCAGGCGAGTGAACTTAGGGACCCAGGGAACCCACAGCCGGCTCGTAGCCCTCCTGGTGTCTCCTGGAGACCCACGTTTCTAGGCTTTGGTTCCCTCCCCATTTTCCCTTAGCAACTTCCCTAACCCCTACTGTCCTCAGTGCCCCGAGATGTCAAACTCTTGGCCTGAGTCCTCTAAAGAACAGAGTTCAGTCCCCAGAGGTGAGGAATCAGAGGGGGACCCACATACCGGTTTTCTCCTTGATTTCGCACAGGACACTAAAGAGAGCAGGCTTCATGCGGTGGCAGTTAAGGGCGTGTTTCCTTGGGAGGAAAGGGAAAGAATAGTTGAGAAGCTACAAGAACAGAGGTGGGGCGGGATGGGGGTACCACGAGGGTGAGGGGGAGCCTGGGAACAAGGTGGGGGTGGGGACATGACGGAGTTGGGGGGGGACAGCTCCTGGAATGTGGAGATGTGGGGAAGTTGCTTGGCTTTAGGAAGATGGGGGGGAAGGTGCAGGCAGCAAGATAAAGGCACCGTGGGCACACATGGGGCTGTGGGAAATGGGCCTAAAAGGGGACAAAGGGAAATTTGGGGGTGACTGCCAACTTGAGAGTGACTAGGTAGATTTCAGAGGAAACGAGATGGAGACTGTGAGAAGAGTCAGAGTTTGAGGTGCCAGAGACGGGGCTGGGGATTTCAATACAGATGTACGGGGAGGTCCTGGGACTGACCAAGGCAGGAGGCTTTGATGCTCCTAGTGTCTGGCTGAGCAAGGGCTAAGGGTGAGGACCCTTGGGAGGGTGGGCAAGTGGTGGAGAGGAGTGTTAGGAGCTCTGGGATGGACCCAGGTCTGGAGAAGATGGGGGTGGGCTGGGTGGAGAGTTAGGAAGGCAGCATAGCAGTTTCTTAGTCTGAGAGCCAGAGCAGGGCTCTGGAGGTGGAAGGATGTTCCAGGGAGGTACAGGGGTCAGTGAGAGGTGGGGGGTGGGTGGGCAGTGAGACCACCCTGGGCTCCCCTCTTTGAAGGTTTCAGGGTCTGGTGGTGAAGGGAGGTTTGAGAGGGATGGCTTATCTCAGGACTAACAGGAGTAAGGAGAGAAGAGAGCTGTAGGATCCTGGAGAGGGTCCTGGAGTGGGGGGTGGGGGTGGGGATTCCCAAAAGATTCAGAGCTTGTGAATGGGGCTTCTGCTGGGTCTGTGTAGGGTCCCGGGGTGGGGGCACTCACTTGGCCTGGGCCTCATCCAGGCTCTGGTCGGTGATGGTCATTATCTGCTGCAGAATGTCCCCGATGTCTTGCTTCCCTCGGCCTCCCGGGACCCCCCCCGTTACCCCCACCGGGGTCTCCGCCGCCGGGAGGCTCGCCAGGGCCCCCAGGCTCCCCACCCACCAATCCCAGGCCCCCCCCGGCCCCCGCCTGGAGGGGGCGGCCCCAGCAGCCGCTCGTCCATAGTTGGGGGGGGGGCCCTGAGGCCCCCTCCCTGCTCCGCCCTCCCCCCGCCTGGTTACTTCCCCCCCCCCAAACTCGGTGGGGCCGCTGCTCCCTCCGCCCCAACCCCCACCCGTTTCTCCCCTCCCGGCTCCCCCGGAGGTTCACCCCGGGCCTGAAGGGAGACCTGGGGTACCGGCTGGGCCCCCCCACAGGAGACCCCGGCCCCCGGCGGCGGAGAAAATGGAGCCGGAGAGAGAGAAGAGGCCCAAGCGGGGGTGTGTGTGAGAGAGAGAGGGAGGAGGGAGGAGGGAGGAGAGGGGGGGAGCGAGGGAGGGAGGCTGGGGGAGGGGAGCCGGGGAGGAAGAGGAGGGGAGAAGAGAGGAGGAACAGGGAGGAGCTGGGGGGCGGAGAGAGACACAGAAGCAGAGGAACTGGGACCGAGTGGAGGAGGGGAGAGGGAAGAGGGGACGAGGGGAGGAGACTGGACCCACGGGGAAAATATGCGAAGGCCACGGGGCTGCAAGTCGTCGGCCTGGAAAGCGGGGTTTGTTGGGGCTAGGGGACCGCCGCCTGGGTTCCGAATTAGGGATCTAGGTTTTGTGGCCTCTGGCCGCTAGAATGCCTGGGTTCACAGACAGCTCAGTTCATATTTCTTGTCCTAATGACTCCCCTCCCTGTTCTACTTAATTAAAACCAGGAGAGGGGGGCTGGGGGGGTATAATTAGGGAGGTCTCCAGCCGCTGCTTAATGAGCCAGTAATTAACCAGCCAGGGAGGGGAGCTGGCCTCTCGCCAGACTAGGGAGAGAGGCGGCCTCCGGCCTCACCTTCCTCTCCCCCGCCCCCCCCACTACCCCTCCTTCCCCACCGCAGTCCGAAAGACCAGTCTTCTTCAGTTGGGAGGAGAATTACATTTATTGATACAACCAAAACATCAGACTTAGAGCAGCAGTGGGGAGGCAGGGGGGCAGTGCTAAGTGTCCATTCACAGCCTGTAGGCCCCGCATCCTGGGGCTGGGGGTGCTGGTGGTGGGTGGGGGAATGGTCTCTTTACAGTGCCTTCTCTGTCTTCTTACTGAGAAGGAGGGTGGGACTGTCAGGCCCTAACCTTGGGAGATTTGCCTTTTCTTGGGAGATAGGGAGGCCTGAGCCCTCAGATTCTGCCCCCCTGGGGATGTCTCCACAACTCAGGACTTAGAACCACTCCCTGTGATCAGAGGAGGGGGTGGGGTGTCCCTCAGTGGCTAGGATTCCTTCACTGCTTCAAGCTCCCACACACTAGGGGATGGGAGTTAAATGACCATCCTACTTTGACTATGCTCAGGGTTTGAGGACTTTCACCCCCTCCATTCCCAGAAAAGGTGGATGAGGGTGATGAATATTGAGATTTCTCCTGGGTCCTCCAGTCTCTGGTGCCCCTGCCACCCAGTAGTTGAGGGCTGGCCAGCTTTGAGCCCCAGAGTGCGGAGTGGCTGGTGGGGTGGCTCAAGTCTCAGCAGGTATGTGTTGGGGGCCGGGACCTTTGCTCCTCCATTCGACCCCCACCCTGAACTCTCAGCAGCAACTCCAGGAGCTCCTGTCCCCCTGGGGGTAGGGGAGGCTCTGACCGCTGGGCTTCCATCCGCTGGCACTGGAGGAATGGAGGAAAGGGAGGGTGTTGGTGAGGTTTTAAGAGGAACAGGCCTTGAAAGGAGCCAAGGCTGGTAGAAGGGGTATAGGGGATACCTGTGATGGGCATGGGGGGGACTAGGCTAGGCAAGGGGGCAGATGCTGGGGAGAGGGAAGACCAAGAGACTAGGAACCTTGGATCTTGCCTTTTGGGTAGGTGTCTCACCTGGTGACTGAGGATAGTGCTGTAGAGCTGTTCTCTGTCCTCAAGAGGCCGGTGTGGGGCTGGGGCTCTGCTTGGGAGATTCTGGGGGATGTGGAAGGTGGCTCTCTGCTCCTCTAGGCGGCGGGACTGGGCATCCGCCACCAAATCCAGAAGGAGCTCAGTCTGTAGGGAGAGCAGGGAGGCGGAGCGGGGCCCCAGGGCTGGGGAAAGGAGAGGTAGGGCTCAGAGACCCAGAGAAATTGGCAGACAGGAGGTTTGGTGGTGCAAGGTGTTTAGGCACTTGGGGTCAGAGCTGAGGGGCTGTAATGGGGAGTCAGGAGGAGATGGGGAGAGGGCCCAGGATGGAGTGGGCCTTGGTAATGGGATCAGAAAGGATGTGGGCACCAAGGTCAGGGAGCTCCCAGGGCGGGTGAGGGTACCTGTGTGACGGGTCCCTGAAGGAGGAGGGGACGGAGGAGCAGATCGCCAAGGCCGAGTGCTGGTGTTCATAGGGGGCCAGTCATGCTCATCCTGATGGGGTCCCTGATGCTGAGAGACACCCGGTCCAGTCAAGCCCGGGTGTGGTGGGCAGGGGGCTAGGCCAACAGCCCGTTTCTTCTCTCTGTGTCTCTGTTCCTGCCTCAGTTTGCCCAAACCCTTCTAAGTCCCCTGAAACCCCTGTCACTACGTTGCTGTCCTAGGTCCTCTCACCTCCCTTTCTCCCAGTGTCAGCCTCCCCAACCCAGTGTGCAGCTCACCTGGTCATCTTCCTCTTCTTCCTGGGGTCTCTCGGCCTCCATCCCCTGAGGGGGAGAAACTGAAGGGGGAAGGGTAGCTGGGATTTGGGAGGAGGGCTGGAACCCTAGGTTCCGGAGGGGAGTGGGGGCTGGAAGGGGTGGGGGTGAGCCAGGGGCTGGATGCCTGGGTACTGAGCAGGAAGCTGGGTTCCTGGTCAGCCCCCCCACGGGCCCCGCCCATCCCTGTCAACTTCCTCCAGTTCTGTTTTCCCACCCAAACTGCTTGCTCGACCTCTCTTGCCCCAGGGGAGCACAGAGACTGGGAAAAGTTCCTCCAGCGGCAGTAGTGGAGGGGGTTCATGATGGGGAAGGACTCTTGGCCTTTTCATCTCGGGTCTCAGTTGACCCCCCCCCCAACCCCAGGCTCTGTTCTCTCTACTCCCCTCCTCCCCTTCAGCTCTTTCTGTCAACACAGGAACTAGCTACACAGGAAGTGGTTTTACTCCTCAGAACCCCTCTCCCACCCCCAGGCCCCTTTCCTAAGAGGACCCCGATATAGGCTTTGACCCTCCCCTGTGTCCCAACTTCCCAAAGACTTAAGGGGACTGGGAGGGGCATGGTTCCAGTGGGAAGCAGAGGACTCAGGCCCAGGGATGTTGGGCCCTCAAACATACACATATACCTCTAGGAGTGACTTCAACACCACAGTACCTATTTGATGAATGTGTGTTGAATTAGTTATCCCTGCCCTCCAGGTGCTTACAAGTCTATTCAGGGTACCAGATAGGTACCAAATGTGAGATGAGGGTCAGGGGTAACTTTCCTCTACTCATGAATGAAGGATACAGAAATGGAAAAGGGAGACAACCACCTCCCTGGCATGGTCTCAGTGCTGGTCAGGCTGCTTGGCACCAGGGTAGGAGCAGGGTAGAGATATTTTAGTACCTTTAAATGGCAACCTGCCATATTATGTTTACAGCTGAGTGGCTTAGAGCATGAAATGTGATGAGATCGGGTTCTACCACTTAATGCCTTGCGATCTTGGGCAAATAAAATCTCTGTGCCTCAGTTTCTCAAAGAGTAAAATGGAGTTTTAATAGCACCTGCCTTGTAGAATTGATGTGAGGATTAAATGTGATAAAAGTATTTAGCATATAGTGAATGCTCAATAAATGGTAGTCACTATTAGCTTTTTTTTTTTTTTTAAAGATTATTTATTTATTTATTTGACAGAGAGAGAGATCACAAGTAGACGGAGAGGCAGGCAGAGAGAGAGAGGGAAGCAGGCTTCCCGCTGAGCAGAGAGCCCGATGTGGGACTCGATCCCAGGACCCTGAGATCATGACCTGAGCCGAAGGCAGCGGCTTAACCCACTGAGCCACCCAGGCGCCCCGTCACTATTAGCTTTTTTAAAAAAATGTTTTTAGTTATTTGACAGAGATACAGCGAGCGAGGAAACACAAGCATGGGGTGTGGGAGAGGGAGAAGCAGGCTTCCCGCAGACGAGGAAGCGGAATGGCGGGGGTTGGGGGGAGAGGGGTGTTGGGGCTCAATCGATCCCAGGACCCTAGGATCATGACCCAAGCTTAAGGCAGTTGCTTAATGACTGAACCAGCCAGGCACCCTACTATTAGCTTTCAAAATGCCTCATGCTTCCATGTCTCAGGCCCATCACCATTAAAGAGGTGTAACCATGTTCCTGAAAGGTGGATAATGTTTGAGGTGCTCTCTCCAACTTGAGGCTTTAGGAATAACTAAATGCCCTTGGAAGAGGACAAAGGATATGCATGGTTTAGTGTGTGTGTGTGTGTGTGTGTGTGTGTGTGTGTGTGTGTGTGTGTGTCTGGTTTCTCCCTGGGCTATGAGAGATACCTGCTTTCAGATGATACTCTAAATTAACATAGTACCCCCAAATCTACTTATTCTTGCTCTCGAACTGTACTAAAAGCCTCCATCCAAAGGGATGACTTTGATCTTAGGGCACAACATTCTGAAAACAGTATGCAGTCATTTAATATTTTTTCCCATCCCACTCAACTCTTCCAAAAAAAGGGTTAACATTTCAAATAAGCTTTATTATGGGGTGACAGATTGAAGGTTCTTAAATAGAGATAGAGGTGAGAAGAATGGCGCCTCATCCCTGCGATGGATTGTTGAGGGAAGTGGTGAGAGTGCAAGGAATCATCAGCTGGAGTGGCCTTGGCCCCCCACTTCAGCACCTACACAGTGCCTGGCACATAGTGGGCACTCAATAAATATTTGTCAGCCATTTGTGGGTGGTGGGTGTGATGGGTGATAGAAGCTTCCTTTGGATACAATATACAGGAAAGAACATCTTACATCTTATATGTCTGCAGTTACTGGTTCCAGTTCAGAAGTATATCCCCAGTTCCACTCCACCCTTGGGTAGCCCCTCATCCTTATGCCCTGGGAGAAGGGCTAGGCCCCCGTCATTCCAGCACCCCAAACCCTTTTTCCAGGGCTGCAGCTTCTCCACGTGGAAGACGGAGTGGGCATACACTCATCTGGGGAAGGACAGTATACTCATGACCCCTCACTTTTGGGGCTCCGGGATCTTAAAATCGGTCTTTCCAGACTGGGTGCCCATTTTTAGAATCCCTCCCTGTCATGTAGCATTCTACTTTTGACCCTCGCTTTCCGCGCTTAAAGGTATTACTTGGTGGGTTGGGGGACCCCAGGCAACTTGAGGGGATCCCCGCTCGGGGGATGGCGTAAGACAAGGAGGCGGAATGGGAGTGTTGGAGGTGGGGCCGTAGGGCCCTAGGGTCACCCAATCGCAGGGCCAGTCATCAGCCGAGGCCCCACCCCCGCTTCCGGAAGCGACCCCGGATCTTCCTTGCACTATTGCAGGGTTGGGCCGAGGCCCGCGCATGCCTGCAGAAAACCTACGGGCTCCGGGGCGCAGGCCTCCTCCAGCTCCTCCTTTAGAAAGACCCTGGCAATGCGAGTAGGCTCCGCCCCCGCGCACCGCCCATTCTACGGACAAAGTCTGGGCCTGCAGACATGCTCCGCCCCCGCGCGGGCTGGCCCCGGCCGACAGAGTCCGGCAGCGCGATGGGGCCCCGCCCCCACGCGGGGGCAAGCTGCCGGAGGCTGTCCGCGAGCGGGGGAAGGGGCCCGCCCCGCGACCCGGCGTGGTTTTGTGACGCTCCTCCAGTGACCCCGCCCCCTCCAGCAGCGTCAGCAGATCCCAGTGATTACGCTGTCGGGCGATGTCCCCGGGCGCTAGCCCGGCCTGGTCCCGCAGTCCTCGGGCCGCTCCCAGCCCAAGCAGCAGCTGGGCCACTTCCACCGCCCCTTCTCGGGCCGCGAGGAACAGCGGCGTCTGCTCCTGTGTCAGAGGAAACCGCCAGGGGGCGAGGTCAGGGAGGGCCACGCCCATAGAGTGGTCCTTCCGGACTCCACCCACTTGGGCACCGGCCCTTCCCCCTTCAGGTCGGGTGGCGTTCCCGCGCTTTCCGCCTCTCCCACGCCCTGTTTTGCTTTGTTTTAGTAGAGCCCGCTCCTGGTCTAACCCTGCTGTCCTGGGCGTCTTTGTCGGCTCCGGCCTGGAGAAGAGAGCGGGCGGCCCGGGCGTTGTTCACGGCGGCGGCCCAGTGCAGCGCGGTTTTTCCTAGGGGACGACGTGGGTGGTTGTTACTCCGAGGCTGGGAAACAGACGCCTGGGTTCCTGTTTCCCACGGATTCTGGTTTTGGGGGAAGGACTTATTTGGGCCCGTGGGGGTTACCTCAAAGGCGGAAGCGTTGCGTTACCCGGGTGACCGCCGGCCGGCAGGAAGCCCTGCTTCTCTTAACGTCACCGGCGCGCGGGAGGGACAATGGGGCATTGTTCTGGGTTCGGTGGGACCGGGAGACCTACCCCCACTAGACCTCTCCCCCTTCTCACAGACACTCCTTCCTCAGCCTAGTTACCAGTGGGCTAGGGCAGTGTGGGTATGTTGTTGAGGATGACAGGGGTAGGATTCTATACTGACGTCGCACTACAGATTTACCACCCTGATGGCTAGGTGGGAGGGGATCCCCCGTCTGCAGTTGGTCTCTCTGCTGCTTCCTTTTTTTGCATCTTATCTCACACTCCATCTGTGCCACTTCTCCACAGCACAACACCAACCTCTCCAGATCCGTACCCCATTTATCTCTGGCCCCCACATCTGCTTGGGCTGCGATCAGTTCTTCAACCAGGTCCTCCACCGCCAGCCTGGCGGCCAGCATCAGGGCTGTGGTCCCGTCCTCTGTCCGTGCATCCACTGCAGTCTGTCTGCTGCGGAGTAGGAGCTGGGGGTCCAGAGAGGACCAGTGAACCCTGTTTGTCCTGGACTGCTCCCTCAGGCCCCTCACACTCTTAACCAGCTCCCAATCCATATTTGGCCATCTGTTGTTTCTCTTTCAGACCCCCAATCTCACATCACCTTCCTCTCTGCCAAACCCTAGGGGATGCTTTTGCCTTGCCCCTTGTTCCCTTTAGCGACCCCAGTGTGCACTGACCTGGCAAACCTCCCGAGCATCAGCAGCCACAGCAGTGTGCAGAGGGGTGCGCCCTGCTCGGTCTGGTTGGTTGGGGTTGGCTCCAGCCTCAAGGAGGCGGCGGGCAGCAGTTGGCCGGGAGAATCGGGCAGCCAGGTGCAGGGGTGTCTCCCCAGTGCCCACAGTGTGAGCCTGGGGACAGGCCCCTCCACCTAACAGGGGTTCCCAGGGCTCAGGGCTTCCCAACCATGCCCCCTGGAAGGTCCTGGACTGCACTCCTCCACAGCAAACTGCCGACATCAGGGGTGTTACCCCGTCTGTGGGTGGGAGACATAAGAATGGGAGACAAGTCAGTCAAAGGACGTGACTGGGGGAGGAGAACATGGCGGTTCAGGGAGAATCATAGCCTGAGGTGTCAGGAAGCCCAGCTCTGGCTCTTGATTTTGTGTGTCTTTAGTCAAATGACTTTTTTATTTTTTTCTGTGCTTCGGTTTCCTCATCTGTAAAAGGAGCCTGTGTGCCTTAATTCTTAGACATTCCAGGCAGTGGTTCTCACACTTGAGTCTGGATCAGACTTACCTGGAGGGCTGGTTAAAATACACAGTCCCTAGTATCTCACATTTCTGAGTTAGTAGCTCTGGAGTGGAGCCTGAGAATTTGTATTTCTAACAATTGCCCTGATGATGCCTGATACTTCTGTCCCGGGACCACACTTTAAGAATCATTATTCTAAGGCACTAAGTCTAAAGTTAATTTTCTCAGTTCTGATATCAAAAGGCTTTCTGATTCTAAAAGAGTCAACGGGAGTTTTCCTTTTCTTGGTCTGGGTTGACTCACATACCAGGTCCACGTGTGTCCACGTCCGGGACATCCATCTCTGATTCCTGGGGAGGAGTCAGCATGGCTGCCTGGGGGAGCTCCTGACAGTCACTGCTCAGAGGCCAGAGCTGGCACTTGGAGGGTGAGGCCGTTTCTTCAGCCTTGGGGATCAGAATAAGGATCAGTGAAGGAAGGCTGACTCTTCCCTTCAACTCTGCCATTACCTCAGGACCATTCCTGCCCCAGTACTATCACGTGGCCCACCTCCTCTCCTTCCTCGGGGCCTGAGCACATCACAACTCCATCCTCATCAACTTCTGCCTCTGGCTTCAGTGCCCTGGAAGGGGGTGTTTGGGTAGAGAACCTTCAGGGTCCCCAGGACTTCTAGCAGCCTTCCTCCCCCTCTCCCCTTCCTCTGTCATCAAATTCTGATCATAAATGTCTCCACAGGAAAGGGTCCCCTCCCTGAGCCCCTTTCCTCCTCACTCTTACTTGAGGCCAATGTTGTCTTCACCCAGGGGAGGCCGGCGTCTGCGGTGAGCCGGCTGAGTTCGAGGCCTTCGAATGAATCCAGGGGGCAGCCAGAGGGCCCCATGCTCTCGGCGCCGCCTCCGGATGAGCTGAAGAACCAGAAGAGCCCCAAGGGCCAGGAGAAGCACCCCGGCCGCTGGTGAGCACAGCACAGGCCAGGGAAGCTGGTTGGTGGGTGGTGCTGGCGGGAGAGACACAGTCACAAAAAGAGACTATTTCTCGTGAGGCTGGGTACTAACCGTGAGACCTCTGGGCAAGTGCAGTAACTTCTTTTATCAGTTTCCTCACCTGCAAAGCGGGAATCATAATAGTACCTGCCTCATGGTGTTGTTGGGAAGATTAAATGAGTTGATACTATAAAGCCCTTAGAGCAAGGCCTGGCCTGTAGTAAGTGCTGTATGGGCTATGATTCTTTCCTGTACTGTGAGCTGTTTGACAGAGGGATGATTGCACTTAGTAGAGGATGGACCAGATGATAAAGATTAGGATAAAGTACTTAGGGAAATGAGGAAGGAGACTGAAGAGCAAAGGGGCCCATGAGGAGATCCAGTTAGAGAATGAGGTTCACAAGGGTCAGTCTCTACACCTACCATCTGTGGTCCCTGCAATCCTGTGTCATTTGACCTCCATTGCTGGGAGTGGGTCAGGAGCAATGTCAGGGGAGATGAGGGGGTCACCTACCGGTGCCAGCACGAGGATGGGCAGCCAGTAGGGGTCCCGGCAGCAGGTGCTCCAGGGCCCCCACTGCCGCCATGGCGGCGAGGAAGCGGAGCAGGAGCCCAGGATCCCAGGGGCAGCGGGATGCAGGGTGGTCAGGGCCACAGCGGGACAAATCCACACCCATCACCACCACAAACCTGTAGGGGAGGTGCCCCAGAGACCCCTGTGTTGGTCCCTGACTCCCTTCCCTCCACCCACTAAAAAGCTGGTGTCTGGCGCACTGCCCCCCTGGCCCTGCCTTCTTACCCAGTGCTGAGAGAGTCTGTCTCCTTGCCCACAGGCTGTGTGTGAAGGGTTGTTCTCTCCTGATGGGAGATGTCCGGGGTTCCTCCCAGCTCCTCTTCGGCCTGGGGCCCAGGATAGGGGTACACCATGTCCTTGCCATCACTATCCTTCCTTACCCAGAGCCCCACTCTCAGAGTCAGGGATAGCACCCGGGCCAGGGCAAGCAGCTGCTGGTCCAGGGCTGGGGGGCTCAGCACCACCAGCAGGGCCAGGGAGGGCCCCCATTCTGAATCCCCATCTTTAGGCCTGCAGTCACCTCCATCCCAGCCACATTCTGCAGTGTTGCAGCCTTTTTCGCAGTGCCCATTGTGGAAGTGATCATGGCAGTACTGGTCATAGGCTGGACTGTGGGGTGAGGAGAGGGGGACTCAGGATCCCCAAAGAAACCCGACCCCCTTTTTCATTCCAGAGAGATGTCTGATATTCCACTGCCTCTAGGGCTACGTGCGGAGAGCTCGGAGCAACAGGCTTAGTCAGGTCCTGGATGGCAGGTAGTCCAGACCCTCTAATGTCTGTTATACCCTTGTCTCCTAGGACTGTCCCCTCTCCCTACCCTCCCAAGCACTCCTGTCTCCCTGAAGGAGAGTCCGAGGCCCTTTTCCCTCAGGGGTGTTGGTTGCTAGGGTAGATACTCCATGGCAACGGGGCACAGAGAAAGAGGCTTGAGGCCAGAGGTCCCACAGCTCTGAGAGAGGAGGCCAGATAGAGGCAGTGCCCTCCTTCCTGGTCCCTAGGTTAAATATTGATGCTGCCCTACTCCCCTGGGCTGGAGCCCAGTGTCTTCTACCCCTACTTAGCAATGGTTTTAGGGTAGAAACTCCCCGGAGCTTGAGGCTGTAGTCACACTGCAACCCAGAGGCATCTTTGTCCTTCCTTCCTGCCTCGCTCTGCCCTCCCCCACACCTCACCCCCAAGTCAGGGTTTCAGGCTCACGTGCAGGCCAGAGGAGTCTCACAGTCGTAGCCATCAAACAAACACTCAGCAGAGTCACACTGCGGGTGGCACTGCCCATCACGGAAGAGAAGCCAACACCGGGAGTGGGAAGGGCAGCCCTTCCAGGGGTCCGGGACCCCCAGAGAGCAGTCTCCCCCATCCCAATTTCCTTCAGGGCCGCTGCAGCCAGCGTCACAGGCCCCATCTCCACCTCTGCCCTCGCATCCCTTTGCTCCAGGCCTCTGACACCGGGGCCCCGGGGAGCTGGGAGGGCAGGAGCATCGGAAGCCTGGGTCCCCAAGTCCAGGGATCTCTGAGCAACTGCCATTGTGTAGGCATGGAGAAGGAGGGCCACAGCCACGAGGAGCCGGAGGGGTCAGGCAGTCAGGGCCCCCGTAGCCACTGAGGCAGGCACAACGGGGTGGGAAGCCAGGCTTGGGGGAGGGCAGACATAGGCCACCATGGTGACAGTGATGGAGGCCACAGGAGGGGGCTCTGTGGCTGCAGGTGGGGCCCTCAAAACCCTGTGGAGAGGAGAGAGATATTGGGGGAGGCTCTTTATTATTCTTTCAACCCTCCCCCAGACAAGCAGACTCTCAGTGGGTCTTATAGTCTCATATCTGGAAGGGGCCTCAGAGAACATCAAGTTCATAATTTTATAGATGTTGAAACCATGGTCCATGGTACTTTCACACAATGACATATTGCGCAGTGGTGAAAATGGATGAACCACAGCTGTGTGCAACAACCTAGGAGACTACCTAGAGAGTGGTAGTAATTAATATCTTCATCCCTGTACATAGGGTTATATACTTTTCCTTCTCTGGAAGGCGAATGGGATAGAGGAAGACATAAGCACATGTGAGTTATCGTTTATCGGTTTATGGGTGTTATGTTATAAGAAGAATACAAAGAAAGACATGCACAAATCAATGATGTTAGTGTATCATGAACCAAGGCTTACAATTAACCTGATTTCATGCATCTGAAGTCCATAAACACACACACACACACACACACACACACACACACACAGGTAAAAGAACTTATCCAAGGTCTCACCCAGCTTGACTTTGGGGTCTTGTGTTAGGCAGTGCCTGTGATTTCTGAAAATTCCATTCATGCTATCACCTGATCCTGCCTTTCCCCCTGAACTGGTTCTGAATCATTTACCACTGTAACATGGGCTAGCTTTCACCAGTAATACACCTCTAGTGCTCCCTGGGCTCCCCTCTAGGATCCTAGTTCAGGCATTCTCACCTTGCATCAGTATTGGGGGCAACAGAGAAGACAGCTTTGCGGTCACTCACCTGGGGGCAGTGGCAGGTGAAACCCAGGGGTGGTCCTACTATAGTCTCACAGGACCCTCCATGGGAGCAGGGCTGGCTCTGACAGGGGTCTGTCTCCACTTCACACCACTGGCCTGTGATGGGGTGGGATCAGATGTCACACCCGGCTTCTGTCACTGCCTCCTCCCTAGCTCATTCCTGGGAATTAACCCAGCTCTACCTGCTCAGGCAGGGGAATCCTGGGCATAGTCTCTAGGGTGTGGTGTGGAGGCAGGGGGATGAACACAATGACTAGGTTGCCTTGTGGGTGGGGATTGGGAGCTCAGTTGTGCCCCAGGTGTGCCTGCACACACCCTCCCGGGCCTCACCTGTGTATCCAGGCAGACATTGGCAGTAGAAGGCATTGGCCAGGGAGTGGCAGGCTGCTGTGCCTGTGGGGTGGCAGGGCCGGTCCAGACACTCGTCTACATCCCCCTCACAGCGCAGCCCCACAAAGCCTGGAGGGCAGGTGCAGTAGAAGCCTCCAGCTTTGGGGGTGCAGGTCCCATGGTTGTGACAGGGCTGGGATTGACAAGCGTTGGATTCCTTGGAGCAGTTCTGTCCACTGTAGCCTGGGGCACACTGTAGGCAAAGAGGGTCAGACAGGGAAGCAGTCATCCCACCCATCCCAGCACTACAGGGGACCCAGCTCAAGATCATCTGCCCAGCCTTCTCCCCACCTTCCAGTTCAAAGCATCATTCAGTTTACCATCAATCACAGCCCTGTGTAGCCCAACCCTTCTGTCTCAACTCCATGACACACCTTCGTTCAGTGGCTTGCAACTTAGCCCCTCCAGCAGTCCCAAAGCATCTTAGTATCCATTGCCACTAAGCAATAGGTCCATTTTGGTAAGACCTCCTTCCCCCACCACACCTCCACCAGGCTCTGTCATGCTTTATCATTTAAAAAAAAATATTTTATTTCTTTATTTGACAGAAACAGCCAGAGAGGGAACACAAGCAGAGGGAGTGGGGGATGGAGAAGCAACCCCCATCCCTGACCCCCTACCCCCCCACCCCCTCCAGGGCAAGCAGGGAGTCCAGTGCAGGGCTCAATCCCAGGAACCTGGGATTGTGACCTGAGTTGAAGGTAGATGCTTAACGCTTTATGACTCAGCCACCCAGGCACCCTTTGTTGATTAATTTGTAAGCATTTACTGAGTGCCGACTTTGTGCCGGGCATTGTTTTAGGCACTAGGAATATGAAGAGAATTAGAACTCCTTCCCACTTCTGTGAAGTTCTCATTCAACCAGAGGAGAGAGACAGCATTTATTACATGGTTTCTATACATAACCTCACAAAACTCTCCCCCAAACCCTGCAGATGTGTTATCTCATTTGATTCTCACTTTACAGAAAAGGCAACTGATTCCTGGAAATGCTGAGTGACTTGCACACGTCACACTTCTAACTGGTGGCAGAGCTGGGATTCAGTGCGAGTCTGTGATGTCCTAACCAGTGCCCTTGAGCATTTGGGGCTTGTTTCATGCCATGCTAGTGGGAACAGGGTCATTGATGAGGTTCTGTACCATGGGCTGAGTTCTTGCAAGAGCAAGGAAAGCATGTAAGAACACAGTACCAGCAAGGCTTCCAAAAGGTGGAGAAAGAGGGAGTTACAGAGAATCTGGGGAGTGGCCAGAGGGTTGAGAAAAGCAGGTGAGTGGGGTGTTTTGGGGATGTCTGAGAGAAGGAGTCTCAGGAAAGGGGAGGTAAAGCTGAGTCATGGGTACAGGGCTGTTCACTACTAATTAGTACATTGCTTTCATGTGTGTTTGAAAATGTTCATAATAAAAAATTAAAAAGTCAAAGAAAATGTTTAGGGGATCTGCATCATGTCTTTTATTCAAAGTCAGGGTTCTTTTTTTTTTTTTTTTAAAGATTTTATCTATTTATTTGACAGAGATGACACAGCGAGAGAGGGAACACAAGCAGGGGGCCCGATGCAGGGCTTGATCCCAGGACCATGAGATTATGATCCAAGCCTGAAGGCAGAGACCTAATGACTGAGCCACCCAGGTGCCCACTCCCTTTTTGTGTGTGTGTGTGGGGGGGGGGCACAGAAGGAGAGGGAGAGAATCTTAGGCAGGTTCCACACCCAGCCTGGAGCCCAACGCAGGGCTGATTTTATGACCCTGAGATCATGACTTGTGCTGAAATCAAGAGTCAGATGCCTAACCGACTGAGTCACTCAGGTGCCCCCAAAGCTGGGAGTTCGGAGTACAGGCATCAGGCTGCTCCGACTTGAATCCCAGCTTTGTCTCTGCTGCTCAGTGACTGGAACCACCAAAGAGAGGCCCAAACCTAGTCTGGAGAAAAGTTAGGGAAAGTTTCCTGAGGAAGGCACCTCTTGGACAGCATCAGTGGAAGAGGGGTGGGGAAGAGCACGGAAGAGCCAGTAAACGGGCTGTGCAGGGAAGCCAGCAGCTGCTGGAGCAGAGAGCAGGAGGGTGGGGGTAGGGCGAGATGAGACCCAGGAGGCAGGCTGGTCACCAGGGCCTCGGACTTCACTGTCAAAGAGGTGGGCAGCCACTGAAGGGGTTTAAGTGGGGAAGTGACAGGCCAGCTTAACATTTTCAACAGAGCACCTGGTGGTAGAGTAAAGGCTGAGCCTCTAGGGCAGGGACAGGGAGCTCCAGGTGCCCAGGTAGCCTGCAGCAGAGGCCTGGACGGAGGCAGTGGGACAGAGGGTGAAGGAGGAAAGCCAGAGTTGATAAAGATTTAGGAGGCAAAAGGACATGATTTGGGGGTAGGTTGGCTGGGTGGGGTAAATAAAGGAAAAGCAGATGAATACATTAGTGCCCTGCCCAGCGGCGTTTCCCACGTGCAGCCCACCCTTGTCTCCCCTCCCCATTCTCCTCTAGGCCTGCTCACCTGGCAGAGATAGCCACTGGGCTGGGCTATGCAGGTGGCCCCATGCTGGCAGGGCCTGGACTCACATGGGTCCACCCTGTCCTGGCATATGCTGCCTTGGAATCCGGGAGGGCAGCGGCAGAAGTAGGAAGAGCCTCTGTCGAGGCAGACGCCTCCATTCTGGCACAGGGAAGACACTTCTGTGCCTGAGGAGAGAGGCAAACAGGGATGGATGTAGCTAAGTGGGGAGGAAAGTTTCTCAGGGGCCCCAGACCTAGAGCAGAGAGGCTCTTGGGGATCACTGATGTTCCTGGGTTGGGGGGGAGGCCACTTGGAGCCTGAGGAGTCAGTAACTTCTGGTGCTGAAAAGGTTATAACATCAAGATCCCCCTCCTGCCTGTTGTGCCAGAATGGGGAGAGATACCTCTTGTTAAGCTTTTTAGATCATTATAAGCAACTGTATTCTTAGTTTAAAACAAGTCTCAAGGAAGAAAGAACTCAAAGGAAACTTTGGGAGGGGGGTTAACTAATGGGCTAAGTCTGTCCCCTGAATTTGTATCCTCTCATGTTCCCGCACTGTGATTCCCATCCTTTAAGCCCACAAGAGGCTCCTGCTTGAGTTCCGCGCCTCATATGAATGAGGGGTGTGTTCTTTTACAAGGGGGTTGACGTAACATCCACGTGAGTGGGAAGCAGCCGTTGAGTTGAGTGAAGTGAAGTGTGGTCCACTCTAGGTGAGTTATGATTGGTAATGACAGAGTTGGGTTGCTTCGCAGTGAGCTATGTCCCAGGGGTCGTGTTAAGCTGGAGTCTTGTTGGCTGGACGGGTTGGTGTTGCTTGAGTTGTGTTGAGAGTGGGGATAGAAAATGAGTGGTGGTAGGCTGCCCTAAGGGTGGAGCTGTAGCATCAGTAATAGTGTTTGGTCTGTGTTACTTTGACTCTCAGTTGGTTGTTTTGAACAAATATTGTGTGTGGATGCCATCAGGGATCAGGTAGAGGGGGACACCCTTACTCTCTTCATCTGCTCCCCCTTGGTCCTTGGGTCAGTACCTTGGCTCAGAGCGGCCTTCTGACAGGACAGTGGCAGGTTGCAGAGAGGGCCGGTCCATCCTTGGAGGCACAAGCACTGGAAGGAGGGCCCAGTCTGGAGGCAGTGGGAATTGTGTGGACAGGGCTTCTGGGCACATAAGTCCATCAGAGTCTGAGGTTTGGGAGGGAGCATGAGTCAGGACAGAATATCATGTGTTTAGACCCAGAGAAGGTTTTCAGCTAGCTCCTCAAAATCCTTACTTCTCAAACTCTCTCCTGAATGGTCTGGGGCCCGGTGATAGCCCCCCTCCCACCCTGGTTTCCTCTGATACCCACATCCCAGAGCATCCCTGGCATCAGAAATCCTTTCATTTTTTCTATTCCATGCAAACCTCACTCCACTCCCAGATTCCAGACCTCCTTTCCTGTGGATACCTCTCCCCAGCTCCCTGCTCTGTCTTCTAGTCCCAGAGACCCTTCCACCAGAGCCCTCTAGCCACCACCCTCCTCAGCAACTTGGCTCAGCACCACTCACCTGGCAGCTGCCTCCTGTGTAGCCAGGGGAGCAGAGGCAGTGGGGACCCTGGGGGCCATCTTGGCAGGTTGCCCTGTTCCTACAGGGGCTGGAACAGGACGGACACAGGGCACAGTGGGAGGAAGTCCGGGCAATCAAAGGGGAGGGAGTATGGGACGTGATGGTGAGATGGGAAAGAAAGGGAAGCAGAGTGAAAGGATCTGCAATATGGAATTCGAGGCAGCCTGGAGCCCCAGAGGAGATGGAGAGGAAGGGTGGGAAGGCTGAGGGGGCCCCCTCCCTTCCTCTTGGGGGTCTTTGCTCACTTGTTGGCGCAGCTGGGATGGGTCCTTTCCTCACAATGTGGACCCTGGAAGCCCGCAGCACAGAGGCAGGAGAAAGTGCCAGGCCTGTTCACACAGGTACCCGCATTGAGGCACGGGGCTGGAGAGAGGAGGCTGTGAGGGTTTGGGTTCCTTGCCTGTAACCTGGCCTGTAGCCTTAGTCACACCACACACAGGACACACACGCCCTCCCTCCTGTCCCCATCAAAATAGCACCCCATCAGGGCACCCAGTTAATTTGTTTTCATATGTAACACACCCACCCTGACCGGTTCCTCTATCCTCTTGTGGCCCAGCTGGAGGATGCGGTGGGCACTCACCAGAGGCACAGTGGTCAGTGCTGGTCTGGCAATGCGGCCCAGTGTGGCTCAGAGGGCAGGTGCAGGAATAGCCCCCCGGTCTGGGGCTACAGGAGCCACCATTGAGGCAGGGCCCTGAATGACAAGCTGTCACCTCCTCACTGCAGGTAGGCCCTGAGGGAAGTGAGTGGGGTCTGAGAAAGGGAATCCTCTTCTCTCTCGTCTTCCTCCACTCCCCTCCCCTTCCTTTTCCTCAACCCCATCCCTCTTTTCTCCCATCCAACCTTTTGTCTTTTCTTACTGCCTCTTGCACATCACCTGTGTTCCCTACAGCCTGTGCCCCGTTCTTCTGGGTGGTGACCCAGACCCAGAGTCTTGGGACATGTCTCTACTGGCCTTGCCCTTGATTAGAGGGTGGCCAGCCCAGAATGTCTGTGGCTTAGGGAGGGCCTCACCTGTATAGCCTGGGGGGCAGGTACAGTTGTAGCCAGAGGGCTGGGGCTGACAGGTCCCCCCATGGGTACAGGGCATGGACATGCAGCCCCCCAGCTCTGCTTCACATTCTGGTCCTGTCCAGCCCACGTCACACACACATGAGGATCTGGTCATGAAAAGAAAAGGGAGGGTTTTCTTCTTCTGGTGTTTTTTTACTTCATCCCCTCCCTCAATGGTCAAACCCCTAGGACCTCTTCTTTTTTTTTTTGCCCTGAGACTCTGGCCCCTTTCTTCAGTGGCTCTGC